ATAAGTTAGGTATAATTATTCTCTACTAAAAGGGCTAAAATAAAAAGCTTACCCTTATTAATATTAATACTACCCCTAATACTATTAAGAAGTAATATATTAAATAATATATATATAATATATATATTATATTAATCTACTAGCTTAAGGTATATTATAATCTATTAACTACTACTTAGTACTAAAACCCCTTACTTAATAATATTAAGGCCCTTAATATATAACTATAGTAGTAGATAGATTTACTAGTATAAGGATTAATATTTATACCTATTAACTTATTAACTACTAAACTCCTTATCTTTATTAATAGCTTATTTACTAATAATACTAACCTTATATTATAGCTTAGTTTTACTATTATTCTTACTAATAAGACCCCTTCTAATAAGAATAAATTTATAATTAATAGTAATATTATCTACTTTAGTTTAATAAAAAGTAAGTAAGTTACTTAAAGTATACTAGCCTCTAAGGTCTATAGTATAGTTATTAGTATTAATATAGCTTATACTATCTCTATAACCCTCTAAATAATTACTAAATAGCTTAGCTTACTCCTAATACCTATTATTATCTATACTAACTTATACTTACTATATAAATACCTTATTAAGCTAAGCTCTATAAAGGAGAAGTATTTAATAATTAATATTATAGCTCTATAGTAGTTATATAAATACTATAAGTTATATGAAATATAATAGATTAATAGTAATAATAACCTCACTAATACCTTTACTAAAGTAAAGTCTAACTAATACCTTATATACTTCCTTAATATAAACTTAGTAATAATATAGATAGAGGGATAGGTTATATAAGTCTAAGTAGTGCTAATTACTAGTACTAGCCTAAAGTAGGATTAAGTAATAGTTATAGAGTAACTACTATAGTAGGGGTTATAAGTAATTACTATAATTACTAATAATTATTACTTTTTACGTTATATATTATTTAATAACTTCTTTTTAAACTATACTATAGTTACTATTAACTGTATTAACACTAGTAAAAAGAGAAAGTTATTAGTATTAGTAACGCTAGCCTATTATAGCGTTAATTAAGCTGGGCGTACCTTATATAATTAGTAATTATATAAGGTACTACCCTCTGTAATTAACGCTGTAATTATAGCTACTACCTCTAACGCAGTTAACTATATACATATCACCACTAACGCAGTTAATATAATATAATATTTACTGCTTATAGTAACCCTTACTAGCTAGCTAGTCCTATAAGACTAATATATATATAGTTATATAAGCACCTTATATAATTAGTAGTTTAGTAAGTTACGTTTTAGGTTATCTTTCCCCTCACTTTTCCCTACTAGAGGAGGTAACCTAAGAAGAATAATAATAAGAGATATTATAATATATTAATTCCCTTATTATTATCTATATAATTAAATACCTATAAATACTTAGGATTATTACCTTTTATTATAATATAAACCTATCTATAACTTTATACTATATAGGCGTATATACTACGCCCCTAAATATACTTATACTTATACTAATAGGTNACCTTATACTATATAGGCGTATATACTACGCCCCTAAATACGCTTATACCTATACTAATAAATAGAATTAATATTTCTATAAAGCTAGTTAAATAGTAGATATATTTAGCTACCTCTATTTCCTAAATATATTTAGTAAGAGTTTATAGTTACTTTACTAATATAAGATATATTAGTTTATATAAAGGCTCTTTACTAAGCTTAAACTTAATATAATATACTACTCTTTTTAATTTAGGGACTTTTTTTATATTCTCTTTATTAAAAATATTTATAAAAGTTTAAAGTTCTTTAAGGATCTTCTTTTTATATTTATTCTCTAGTAAGTATTTACTTAAAGTATTAATATCCTTCTTATTTAGAATTAAAGCTTTTATTAAGTATATTATATAAGTTTTCTATTTATTCTTAATAATTTCTTATACTATTATTTCTAGTTTAATAAATAAGATATAGTTATATAATTAAGTATAAGTATAGATATCTATATAGATATTTTCTCTACTTATTAAGTTATTAAATAAAAGGATATCTCTTACTTTTTTAAAGTATAAACTAGTAATAAATATTTAGTAAATCTTTTATAAATAGTTTTAGTTATTAATTAAGAAGAATATAAACTAATAAACCTTATTAGTAAGTATAAATCTCTCTTAGAAATCTATTAATTTTAGAACTATAATATTAGTAACTTATTTTAATAAAAGTTTCTTAATAAGGTCTTCTTATATAAAGTTAATTATAGTATAAATATCTATATTAACTACTAACTTAAACTTATTATATACTTAGAGTATAATTACTTAATTTTTAATAGTTTAGTTTATAGGAACTAAGGTAATTTCTAATATAATACTTTTTAAGGTTACCTCTATACTTATTTATTTCTTAAGTTTTTAGTATTAAATATATAAGAAATTATAATAGTATTAATCCTACCCCTTTTTAGATTTAAGTTTTAGTTATTACTTATAAACTATATATAAGGTTTAATATAATTAAGGGAAATATACCTATATTTCTTATAATTATAGTATTAAGTTCCTTAGAAGTTAAGTAACTTACTATTAGAACTAAGTATTATATAGGGGTTTACTAAATAGTTATTTTAAAATAGGGTTTTTAGATAGTACTTTTTTAGATCTACTAATTAAGGAGGTTATAAGCTATTCTTATAAGGGTAGTTTAAAGAACTTAAATATAATTATTTATATAATTTAAAATAACTAGTAAGCTTTTTTATATACCTCTTTTTTATAATCTCTTATAATCTCTATATATATAGAGTAATTATATATATATTAGTATAATTAATATCTTATTTAAAAAGTTTATCTTTTAGGGTTTTAATAAGACTTTAAAAGAATATATAAACTTTTATATTACTTATATTTAGCTTACTAAGAACTTAGTTAATAGATTTTTAATAAACTTAATATATAATAAGTTTTTTATTATCTTTTTAATAATACTATCTTAAAGTATTATAGTAATTTTATTCTTA